AGGAGTTCTACAAAAAATCTCAAAAATCAAATTTAAAATGAAACAATACAAGGCTAACTATTTGGTTGTCAGTTGGTTTCCAAGCAGCAGACAAGGCAATGCATCATGTCATTTGGTTCCTAGGATTCTACTGCATTGTCTTGAGAATAATCAAAAGAATTCATTTGGGATATTAGTGTAGCGGAGAGGGCTCAGTGTCCCAAGGGGTTGGAAGGAGTTAGCACAAGACTTGGATGTTTAAAGTTCAGGTGGCATTCCAAGGTACTCTAGTGCCTGGGCTAGACAGAGTGGGGACTGGGAAAACATCAAAGAGCTTGCAAATCATTAAGGGATAGGGCAGTTCATGTTCCCACAGGAAGGGCATTGGAGAGGTGAGGGTCATCAAGTTGATTGGTTCCTACCTGGGAATACTCAGGAAATATCACCCCATGGAACCAAGGGCTCTGATTGCTTGTGGGGGAGGGGATAAAAGGAGAGCCTCAGGCTGGTGGGTGTTCTCTCATTGGAGAGCAATCAGTTGCTGCTGGAGTCTCTCTCTGTCTGTACCATGCTACTCTACTCATGAGAAAGCTATGCTAAGTATTCTATCTTGTATTAGTGATAGGTCACCAAGTTTTGTTATTTTAAGTCTGAAATGGTCAAAGGGCCTGGAAATTACATTTAGGATTTGAATTCTGTATTTCTATGCTGCTCTCCAATTTCCTTTTCCTTCCCTCTGTGTGTGTGTCTGTCTTGTTTCATGTTCATTTTTGTAAATTCTCCACTCTTATTGTGTGTTTTATGTTCAATAAAGTTCTGTTTTCCCTAAGTACTTGGATGAGCATATGCTGAATCCACTTTGTCTGGTCCCTGATTGTTGGGCCTGGGGAGTTCTGGGTGTGGATTCACCCAGGGGGCCATGGGAGGTGGCTACTCCAGAGCAACAGAATGTTACAATCACCATAGAATCACTTTCTTCATTTGTTATATTTAAAATGTTTTCTCTTTGTTTCCAAACTTACTATGTCACACAAAAGCATAACATAGTAAAGGCAATAGCAGCGATGAAAAATGGAAGAATGTTGTGGGTTCACAATGCTTAGTAAAAATCAGGGATAGAGTTAGGATTCTGCAGGAAAAAAATGTCTTCAGGAAGGTTCCATGACCGAAAAAGTTTGGGAACCGCTGGTCTAGACAGTGCAGTTACCTCCCTAAGGAAATAAGGAGGGGGAGCAATTCCTGGACATTGCCCAGGGGGTCCTCCAGATCAACCGAGAACAGCCCTCTTCCAGATAGCAAGAAGATGGAGGGGCCACCAAGGAACCAGCCAGGGAGACATGGAAGAATGTCACGTATAGGACACAAAGGCTGGCGCCACTGGTACCACCTTTTCTGTCAGCTGGTGTTGATCTGAGGCTGAGAAAATTGATTTTCTCTGCTAGAATAGGCTATGGGTTTCCTAGGGGATCAGTCTGCTCGGGAAGCCTGGCCAGGGGTCAAACTTGGCCAGAGGGCTGCTGCTGGAGAAGTGACTGCTGAGCCACAGCCCCCTTTCTCTACAGGGCATCAAGCAAGGCAGGTTGTTGTTGTTGGGGACTCCTTACTAAGGGGTACCAAGGCAACAGTGTGCCAGATGGATCCTGAGGTGAGGGAAGTCTGCTGTCTGTTAGGTGCACACATCCAGAGTGTGATGGACAGGATGGCACTTCTTCCCCAGGGGGCGGGGGTCATTGACCACTTCTGGTGATCCACATGGGATCGAACAACTCAGCCAGGCAGGGGCTGGGTGGGATTATTCAGGACTTTGAGGCGTTGGGCAAGAGACTCAAGAAACTGGTTCTACCCCCAGACAGAGGGTTCCAGGTAGTCTTGTCAACCGCCCCCCGGGCCTGACAGTGCTGCTGCTTAATGCCAGGTCAGTCCACAACAAATCATCCCTCATCCACGACCTGATTGTGGATGAGGGGGCCGACCTGGCTTGCATAGCAGAGACCTGGGCCGGAGAGCGGGGGGATGTCGCCCTCTCTCAAATGTGCCCGCCCGGGTATCTAGTTCAGCACCGTCCACGCCTGGAGGGGAGGGGGGTTGCTTTGGTTTACCGAGCCTCCATCTCCCTCACGGGGCTTCCAGTTCCCTTGAGGCTGGGGCTAGAGTGCCTCTACTTGGTGTTGGGCGACCGAGACAGATTGGGGATTCTGTTGGTGTACCGTGCACCCTTCTGCCCAACAGACTCCCTGCCTGAGCTGACGGAGATCGTCTCGGACCTGGTGTTGAGGACTCCCAGGATGTTGGTCCTGGGGGACTTCAATGTCCATGCTGAGACTGTTCTGACCGGGGTGGCTCAGGATTTCATGGCCTCCATGGAGGCCATGGGGCTGTCTCAACATGTCATAGGCCCGACCCATGAACGTGGACACACTCTGGACCTGGTTTTCTCGACGGGGCAGGAAGAGGGTGGTCTGAGGGTGAGGAATTTGTGTCTTACACCCCTGTCATGGTCAGATCACTTCCTGGTGAGGTTTGTGCTCGAGAGCGGCCTTTTCCTCTGTAAGGGTGTGCCCTGATTGTGTGGGTCCAGCCCTGGAGCTGGATGGATCCAGACGGATTCCTGAAGGCCCTGGGGGAGTTTCCAGTTGACAAGACTGGTGCTCCTGTCGATGCTCTGGTCGAACTATGGAATGGGGAAATGACCAGGGCTATTGACACGATCGCTCCCAAGCATCCTCTCCCCCCAGGCAGAGCCCACTCTTCCCCTTGGTATACACCTGAATTGCGGGTGATGAAGCAGTTTGGGAGATGTCTAGAGCGTAGGTGGAGGAAATCATGGGATGAATCTGACCGAACACACTTAAGAGCCCATTATTGGGCCTGTGCTGTGGCGGTGAGGGCGGCGAAAAAGAAATTCTTCTCCATTTCCATTGCCTCCCCACAATGCTGTCCAGCGGAGCTTTTTCGGGTGGTACAAGGGCTGGTTCATCCTGGCCCTAAGAAAGATCCTGTACCACCCTCGAAGGCCTGCTGTGACGACTTTGCCAAGCATTTTAGGGAGAAAATCGCTCAGATTCTTCATGAGCTGGACTCCACTAGTGACCCAGAGGCTTCTGGGAAGATACCAATGTTGCCGTCTGGTCCAAAATTGATGGATGAGTTTCAGTTACTGCGGCCTGATGATGTGGACAAGGTGTTTGGACGAGTACGTCCCACCACCTGCCTATTGGACCCTTGCCCATCTTGGCTAATTAACACGCCAAGCACGGAATAGGGACCTGGATCCTGGAAGTGGTTAACGCCTCTCTGAGGGACGGCCGGGTACCTGTCCCTTTAAAGGATGTGGTAGTCTGACCAGTCCTGAAGAAGGCGTCCCTGGATCCAGAGATGGCCACTAATTATAGACCAGTGGCCAACATCCTGTTTTTGGGCAAGGTGTTGGAGCAGGTTGGAGCAGGACAACTCCAAGCACTCTTGGATGAAACTGATTATCTAGATCTATTTCAGTCTGGCTTCAGTCCCGGGTATGGTACTGAATCTGCCTTGGTCGCCCTGTATGATGACCTGCGCAGGGAGAGAGACAGGGGGAGTGCATCCGTGTTGGTTCTCCTGGACCTCTCAGTGGCTTTCGATACCATCGACCATGGTATCCTTCTGGATAGGCTAGCGGGATTGGGGGTTGGAGGCACTGCCTTGCAGTGGTTCCACTCCTATCTCAATGGCTGATTCCATAAGGTGATGCTGGGGGACTATGGCTCTGCGCCATGGTAGTTATGCCGTGGAGTACCGCAGGGATTCATTTTGTCCCCTTTGCTATTTAACATCTACATGAAACCGCTGGGAGAGGTCATTAGGAGGTGTGGGCTGTGGAATCATCAGTATGCTGATGATACCCAGCTCTACCTCTCATTTTCTACCAATCCAGGTGAGGCAGTGGCTGTACTGAACGGGTGCCTGGCTGAGGTAATGGGCTGGATGAGGGCCAATAAACTAAAGCTCAATCCAGACAAGACGGAGGTCTTCTTGGTAGGCGGTTAGGGCTTCAGGGAAGGGGACCTTGACCTTGTCCTGAATGGGGTTGCACTCCCTCTTAGGGACAAGGTCTGCAGCTTGGGAGTGCTCCTCGACCCAGAGCTTTTACCTGAAGCTCAGGTAACAGCGGTGGTGAGGAGTGCTTTCTTTCAGCTTCGGCTGATCCATCAGCTGCGTCCCTACCTGGAGAACAACTGCCTGGCGACAGTGACAAACGCGTTGGTAACTTCCCAACTAGACTTCTGTAACGCGCTCTACGTGGGGCGGCCCTTGAAGATGGTCCGGATACTTCAATTGGTTCAAAATAGAGTTTGGTTTCTATGTTTCTACTTGTGTTAATATTTGCATGCTTTCACATAGGATGGCCAGTATTTATTAGGTTGTCTTCATACCTCATGAATTCTTTTTATAATATAATATGTTTTTCTATATTTCAATAAATGGAAGAGATATATTGAAAGGTAAGATTTAAGTCAGTAGAAGGCAATGTATTAAGGTCAGAAGGGAGCCTTAGAGGAGTAGTTGTGGTCTTACCTTTATTCCAAGCTTATAATGTAAGGAAGAGGTGTTTATATTGCTCCAGAGGAGAAAGACTTGAGAAGGAAGGTAAGTATTTTCATTCTGATTTTTGGGGTTCTCTTGGCCATATGGTAGTTATAATCCAAGCAGTGCTCAACAGAGTCTAAAATCTCATGGAAGTCAATCAAGCAAGCAGTCCTGATTGCTCAAGGAGCCATTGCTTGCCTGGTCCAATTGTATAATTTCTGATAACGGTTTTGTGTAAATCCGTGAATCTGTTCCAGTAAGATCTGATACATTTGCTTTAGGGGATGGATGTTGGTTTGCCTGATATAAAAAATCTTGAATTTTTAAAATATCTAACAAATGATTTGTGCTGTTCGTGTTTTGAAGATATTGTTAATTCAGCAAAACTGCACAAATGAAAGTTCTTCTGTTGCTTTTGGTTTTAATGGTTCAACAAGTACCATTTTCCTCTCCAGGTTCTCATTAATATTCATGCATGTGGCATTAACCCAGTGGACACCTATATTCGTTCTGGGACTTATGCTAGAAAACCAGCTTTACCTTACACACCTGGTACAGATGTGTCTGGAATCATACAGGAAGTTGGGGAACATGTAGCTGCTTTCAAGGTATTCAGTCTTAAACTGGTGGCCCATTAGCTGTATCTTACAAAAAATAATGTAGGATTTGTTAACTAAGCAGGGTCTCTTGTGGTTGAAAGAGACCACTATTCTGACCTAGATATGATTTGTGTCCCTCCCATACATCCGAATTTCCATCCTCCTGCTTCCCCATTTCAATGCAAGATTGTTGCTATACCTTGGCCACAGTGCATCATTCTTTATCAAATAGTTAAATCTCCTCTGATATATAGTCTTGGTAAATTAAATTACTCCAGGCACAGTTCCATCTTGCTTTCTAAATATTGCTGGCTGTTAATTTGCTTCTGATGTAATATCACCTACTGTTGCCTGAGAATTGCTGCTTGGAGGCACATATTAATTATAGTGATGTACCTTAATTTTCCAGGATGTTCAGAAATGCTGTCTCTTTCTCTGAATGATAAGCCTTCTAAAGTTTTACACACTTGCTTTCTTGCAGTGTGGTTTCTTAGAATGGCATATGTATCATGAAAATAAGGCAGTCACAACCAAATGTCTGGCTGTGAGCTTCAGTTGCATTATTATATTTTGAAGTTCCTGAGCCTTTTGTTCTTCCTTTATATGCATGTATGTCTATGTTCTTGAATTGTATCCTACCATATTGTTCCACTGGAAAGCTCATCCCCTCCTGGTTATGGATGACTGTCTGTGGACTAGTGGCAGTAGTGGTGGGTTTCTGAGGACTACTGGAGGATTCCAGGGGGAATGGGGAGATCTACTTCATTGAACTTGCTTCCACCAGCACAATAGATTGAACCTAGAATTTGAATCTGTGATAACCATGCTTAAGGCTTTGTGCCAGGTAGCTGCCTTGTAAAATAAGTAGTCAAAGTAAGTGACTTTTTAGACATCAAGATTTATCTGAAATGTTTCTTAAGTGCTGAACTCAAAAATCACATCTTCATCTGTCATTGTCCTGGTATTCTAACAATTACTGGTCATTAAAGCACAACTTAAGCAATTCTTTAGTGCAAGGAAGCATTTCTTCCAGAAGCCTGGAGTCCATTTTCCCCCCCTAGATCCCTGATTCAGGTCATATTTGACACAGTATGGCATAGTCTGGGGATGCTCTCTAGACACAACAGATGACATTAAAAATTGAGTAATGGGATCTTCAGGCCCTGATGTGGGGTAGTCTTTCCTTGTCCCATTTACTTCATGTACAACTGGGTTTTGTTTAGTTTGAAAGAAAATGCCTCTTAACTGTTACACAAATATTGCAGAAAGCATTTTGTCACATTTTGCAATACTTTCTTTCCTGCAGAAAGGAGACAGGGTCTTTACGGCTGGTACCATTTCTGGCGGTTATGCAGAATATGCTGTTGCATCTGCTGGTACAGTTTTTTCCTTGTCTGATAAACTGAGCTTAAAGCAAGGTGCAGCTATTGGGATACCATATTTTACTGCATACCATGCTCTTTTTCAAAGGTAAGATGTCACAGGACAAAACTTGATTTTCAGTGACTAAAATACAGGCTTTCTTGGATTTTCTCTGGAGATTTTGCATATCACATATTTCATTCTATTAATTCCTCAATCCAAAATGCACCAGATATGTAGTCATTTGATGACTTGCCACTCTTTTCCTTTTGACCCTGAAAGGAGGAGGAGATACAGTAACAGCATATTTTTAAAAAGCTTGGCAAAGGCTGCTGAAAGATGATGAAAAGGCTCACAGTAGGAAAGGCTCTAGAAACCCTAGATAGGGATGGAAGTTTAGTGGCCATGCAGCATGGATTCCATAAAAACAGATCTTGCCAGATGAACCTTGTGAAATTCTGCGATAAGGTTTTGAGGTGACTAGATGGCGGGGATGCTGTAGATGTGATTTACCTGGATTTCAGCAAGGCCTTTGACAGAATGTCCCCCAAGGCTCAGTTCTGGGATTGATTCTGTTCACTCCTTTTATCACTGACCTAGAGGAGGAGATAACCAGTCTGCTGACTAAATTTGGAGATGATACCAAAGTGGGGGTGCTGGCCACAACTGAGGAACAGGTAGGCTGTGTAAGTGGGCAGGAGACAACAGGAGAGCATTCAATAAGTGCAAGGTCTTGCACTTGGAACACAGGAATAGACATCACAGGTACAAGATGGGAGACAAGTGGCTGGAGAGCAGCACTTGTGAATGAGATACCTTGGGATACTTGTCCACAGCTGGCTGAACATGAGCCAGCAGTGTGATGCGGCTGTTAAGAAGTCAAACACCACCCTTGGATATATAGCCAGAAACATGGCTTCCAGATCTAGGAATGTTGGTACCACTCTACATAACTCTGGTGCACCCATAACTGGAGTACTGGAGTTCTGGGCTCCACATTAGCTAGGTTAGAATCAGTTCAGTTCAGTGTCTCAAGAATGGTTGCTGAATTGGGAGGGATGGCATATGAGATGAGATTGAGGGAAGTGGGTCTTTTCAACCTGGGGAAGAGGAGACTTCAATGGGATCTTTTAGTGACTTATAGGTATGTGAGGGGATGTCAGGTGGAGGAGAGCCATGACCTGTTCTTCCCTGCAGTAGAGGAAAGGATGTGGTCCAGTGGGGCAAAGTTCAAGGAACTAGGCTTCAGGTTGGATGTCAGGAAGTACTTCCTGAGAGTTAGGATCGGCTTCCAAGAGAGGTGGTTGAGGCCCCATCAGTGAAGGGTGTTCAAGGAAAGATTGGACAACCACATGTTGGGAATTACATGATCGGAGCCAGCTGGAACCATGAATCAAACTAGATGTCCTGAGAGGTCCTTTCTGACTAGCTTTATTTATATTTTTTATGTTTATTTTGTGTAAGCTTTTTCTGTTGACAGTGCTGTTAGTAGGGTCTATGATCTCATGTTTACTCGCTGTTTCTCTCACAATGTCATTGGTATGTTGGTGAGGATAATGAATGGGAGCTGTAACACAACCAGAAGGCAATGTCTTGGGAAAGCTGAGATATAGTATGATAATTTTTTTATAGCTATGTATTTTCTTCATTGCATGATGAACAGGTTTAAGGCATGGACATAACAGCAGTCATACTGAAACTATTACATGAAAATAAGTGATAATCATAGCAGAAAGACAATTGTTATCATAAATGACCATTCCAATCTTAAGAGTCTACTGAAGTTGTCTTGACTAGAGATGTAAAATTTCCAGAAATTCTGAAGTAATGGGGAAAAAAACCCTGGGGTTTTGAAATAAATTGAAAAAAATAGGGAAAATAAGCAACAGCTATCCTTTAAAACACTCTTTGGGGATTTCTAGTTCCCATCAGCATCAGGCAGCATGTTCTGTGGCCCAAAATCCTGAGCACTGTAGTCCAAAACATCTGGAGGTCACCAGGTTGCAAAAGACTGCTTTAGAAACATATAGGGGTGTATGGGTGTGTGTAATTTAGTTGGCTCATGGTTTTTTTTTAGCATCTGTTAAAAGTAAGTGCAATTACATTTGTAATTATTGTCTGAATATACTTTAAATTTTGCCAAACACAATTATTTTATCAGCAGACTAAGGTAAACAGAATACATTTTAGGTTCCTCTTGTATATCTGATCATAGAGAACTTCATCTGAATCTTCTTAGAATCCAGAAGAAGCAGGAAGAACAGGAAGACTGATATAGCATCTGTTCATGTTTGTATGGAAGGTTAGGGAAATTCCTGAACCCATATGTGTGTCTGTATCTGCTGGTGGAGCAGAGTTTAGGGAAATCTGATACAAAGGAAAAACTACTGAGATTTTATTTAGCTGGGAAAGACTCAGCTTTGGAATAGTAAGCAACCATATTTAATTTAAGACCCCTTAAGCTATATCAAGCTATTATTTGAAAAATGATGTTTTATTCATGTCTGTGAACAATTTCCAGTAACATGTTACCTCTTGTTCATTCTGCAAGCTTTCTTACTCCCACACCTGTGCCATAGGAACCAGGCTACTGAATTTCTTTCAGGTAGTGAGAGTTATTTTAGATGCAGCAGTTAAAAGATTTTTGTAGCTGAGGCAGCATTCTAACTTCATTACAGAACTGGGGAAGAGAGTTCCATAGACCTAACTCTTATAAAGGTAATTTTTAAAGAAAGCAATACAAGTTAACCTATGTGCTTTTCCATCACTTCTTCTGGTAGTGTTTGTCTTAAGTGTTAGTCTACATTAAAGACACTGAAACAGAGCAATTCAGAAGGAGCCTCCTGGGCCATCTAGTCTGGCCCCCAGCTCCAGCCAGCTCTCCTCATGGCATGCCTACCATGTGCATGTCCAGCCTATCCTTCACCGATGGGGCTTCAACCACTTCCCTTGGAAGCCCATTGCACACACTCGGAGTCCTAACTGTCAGGAAGTACTTTCTCGCATCCAGATTGAACCTTGTTTCCCTGAGCTTTGCTCCATTGGAATGTGTCCTGTCTTCCTCTGCAGGGGAAAACAGTTCTCTACTTATTTCTCTATGACATTCTCTCATGCCCCATGGGGTTTACAGTGAATTGACTGCTGTAACCTCTAATTAGAGCAAGTTCAGACACATGGAACAAAGCTGAAATTATCAACTAGGCATATTTTCTTGCATATGAAATGGTGACTATTCACATGTTGGGAACCTGAGAATCCCTAAATGTCAGTAAAAATACGTTAAGTTCATTAAATCGATAACTTTACTAGGGGATGGAAGAAATAACTATGCTGGGATTTTTACATAGGATTTAAGGAATATTTTTACCATGTCTGCATCATTTCCAGTTATTTCATACCCCTAAGCCTTTTTATAAAAGTTTTAGTGTATCATTTTTTAGAAATACTTTGCAGGGAGTAACAATATATCAATGCCTTGCCTTAAATTCTAAAAAAATATATTTCATAATCCAAAGCTGTTCCGTTTTCTAAGAACACATGTCTAGGAGTGAGGGGAAGAAGAACCCCTTTCCCGAATTTTTTTTCTGGATTTCCAATAGACCTCCATATATCTAATCTTGACTGTTCAAAAAACACAAGAGCTACATCATTGGATGTATGATGTTGTGCAATCAAACATTTCTTATGTTGCAAATGTTCTGTGTATTTTTCCAGAGGATCTGCTAAAGCAGGGGAAACTGTGTTAGTCCATGGAGCAAGTGGAGGAGTAAGTATTATGGGAAATGATCCTATAAGAGGGGTACATCTGATTAGAATGCTTTTTAAAGTGTAAAGTAGAACAACATGTGATGCTAGGAGGCTTGATGGTTTCTTCTGCTTATGAAGAATGATTATTACAGTTCAGTGCACATGATACAGTAGTTCTAAAATTTTCATTTGAAGTAAAAATATGATGCTTGTTGAAGATAATTGTCAGGAAGGTTGTTCCTGATCTATGGCTGTGAGATTCATGTGGTATACAGTTTAAATTCCCTCTCTGAGATTCTGTGGCCCTGATAATGGGAAAAAATGTGAATGTGAGCATTTTGAACATTGCTTTTTATGGTTGTGAACACAACATGAGAAATCAATACTGCTGAGTTCTATAGATTGGGGCTGAGCCACATGTGGCATCCACAGCTTCCCAACACATAAAGTATATATTTTTGGAAAACAAACTGGTGTCTAGAGCAGACAAGCTAGTTCTGACTCTTGGTGCTTCATAGCAATATTTTTGTATTTCCTTTGTTTTTAGCAACCATGTGATGGAGGCGATGGTTATGCTATGCTAGTTGTGAAGTCACATCTGACCCATCGTGACCCCGTGGACAACATTCCTCCAGGCCTTCCTGTCCTCCACCATCCCCCAGAGTCCACTTAAGCTCACACCAACTGCTTCAGTGACTCCATGTAGCCACCTCATTCTCTGCTGTCCCCTTCTTCTTTTACAATCTATTGTTCCCAGCATTAGGGTCTTCTCCAGTGAGAACTTCCTTCTCATTAGTTGGCCAAAGTATTTGAGTTTCATCTTCAGTATCTGGCCTTCTAAAGAGCAGTCAGTGTTGATCTCCTCTAAGACTGACTGGTTTGATCTCCTTGCAGTCCAAGGAACTGGCAGGAGTCTTCTCTAGTACCACAATTCAAAGGCCTCAATTCTTCGACACTCAGCCTTCCTTATAGTCCAGCTTTCACAGCCATACATTGCAACCAGGAAACCCATAGCCTTGAGTATACAAACTTTTGTCAGCAGGGTGATGTCTCTGCTTTTTGTTTGCTATGAACAGCATGTTCTCTTGACAAAATTCTTCCGGCTTTTGTCCTGCTTCATTTGGTACTCCAAGGCCAAACTTTCCTGTTATTCTGGTTATCTTTTGGCTTCCTACTTTAGCATTCCATTCTCTCATGATGATAAGCACATCATTTTTGGTGTTATTTCAAGAAGGTCTTGTAGGCCTTCTTGAACTGGTCAACTTCAGCCTCTTCAGCATCAGTGGTTGGGGCATAGACTTGGACTACTGTAATATTAAATGGTTTGCCTTCGATTCGAACTGAGATCATTCTGTCATTTTGGAGACTGTATCCCAGTACTGCTTTTCCTACTCTTTTATTGACTATGAAGGCTACTCCATTTCTTCTGAGGGATTCTTGCCCACAGTAGTATACCTGATGGTCATCTGAATTAAATTCACCCATTCCTGTCCATTTTAGTTCACTGATTCCCAAGCTGTCGATGTTTAATCTTGTCATCTCATGTTGACCACCTCCACCTTGCCTTGATTCATAGATCTTACATTCCAGGTTCCTATGCTCTAATGTTCTTTGCAGCATCAGACTTTCCTTTCACCACCAGATACATCCACAACTGATTGTCCTTTCGGCTTTGACCCAGTTGCTTCATTCTTTCTGGTGCTACTAGTACTTATCCTCTGTTATTCCCCAGTAGCACATTGGGCACCTTCCAACCTGAGGGGCTCATCTTCCAGTGTCATATCTCTTTGCCTGTTGATACTATCCGTGGGGTTTTCATGACAAGGATACTGGAGTGGATTGCCATTTCCTTCTCCAGTGGATGAGCTTTTGTCAGAGCTCTCTGCTGTGACCTGTCCATCTTGTGTGCCCATGTATGGCATAGCTCATAGCTTCATTGTGCTACACAAGCCCCTTCACCATGGCAAGGCAGTGATCCGTGAAGGGGAGACGATGTTTGGAACAGTGAAAATGGCCTACTGAACTTCCATAATTGTCCATTCTGCTTTAGCTGGCAGCAGAGCTTGCTTTCTCCTAGATACTTTTGATCCATTACTTTTGAGCAATTACTAGATGAACATAAGAAGGTGCCTCATACCGCGGTTGCACTTGAGAATTTGGAGCCACAAATAGAAGTTGGAGAATTTGGAGAAAGAACTGCACAGGCTGTGAGGGTGGCAGGAGGGGGCGCTGATTTTAATGCTCTTCATTTTCCTATGACTGTCTAGACAGTGACTGGCAGCCATAGGACTGTACATTTAATTACTGATTCCCCTGATCTTGTTTCAGGGATGTTTGTTTGCACTACCTTTCAAAGCACTTCAGAGGTTAACTTTAAAAGCACAGAGAACTTGGGCAAACTTGGTAAAACTGATTAAGGAACTTCTGCCATGGTGTTGAAAGTCTCACATTCGAAAGGATTGTTGTCAAAACAGTATTGTGGAATATCTGTGTTATTTTAATATGCCTGTGTTGGAAATGTCAATGCTCTTTATCCACTTCATCTCTCTCTTTCACACTTTCATTTTCTAGGTTGGAATTGCAGCATGCCAGATTGCAAGAGCTTATGGCTTGAAGGTGCTGGGCACAGCTGGAACTGAGGAAGGAATGAAACTTGTTTTGAAAAATGGAGTGCACAAAGTATTTAATCATGGGAAGAAGGGTTATTTGGCTGAAATTAAGGTAACTTAGAACAGAATCACATGCCAATCTATTCAGAAGTAAATCCTATCTAATTCAGTGGGTGTTATTCCCAGACAAATAGATACCAGTAGCAGCTTTAGTGCATGATTCTAGGCATGCTTACATGATGGTAAATGAGGTTAGTGGAACTTATTGCAAAGTGGGCATAGCATTGCTGTCTTAAAATTGAAACTCTTTAGTTTCAATTAGTGTCTTTCTGAATGAATTTGTGAAGAATGTTGCAATAAAGTGGTGCTGATAGCATTATTACCTTTGGCTTAAATAACTTGTTCTGCTGGTATTAGTTCACATAATTCTCAGTTAGATTATTATTTATATGGCCCATTCAGATGGAACAGCAAGATCAGTTTGACAGTGCCAAAACAAAGTGGTGAATTGTAAGCAGGCATGTACACCAGGCTGGGGGTAGGCTGATTTTACCTTCCATGTGGCCTTGCTTGGATAGAGGCCAGAGGGTGCTTCTCACCTCTGCAGTATCAGGGTAGCTGGTAGTTGGAGTGGAGTGTGCTTTCTGGGAAGGGACAAGCAAGTTCTCTACAACTACTCCTTCTCTAGCTAATGGATGAAGTTTGATTGGCATGCACCTAGATTGTTACTTTTTAGTGAAAAGTAGAAGCTCTGGGATTGTGTCTGTGTTGCCCTGGCAGTAGTTTTTCTTTTTAAAGATTTCCAGAGAGTGTTATGCCAATGCCAGATTTACTAAGAAGGAGATTATTTATTATTGCAATAATAGTCAAATGCTAGCTTTTGTTGTTGTTGTTGTTAGTTGCAGTCATGCCCAACCCCTCACGACCCCACGGACAACATTCCTCCAGTCTCTCCTGTCCTCCACCATCCTTTGGAGTCCACCCAAGCTCACATCCACTGCCCCAGTAACTCTATCTAGCCACCTCATCCTTTGTCGACCCCTTCTTCTTTTGCCATCAATCGTTGCCAGCATCAGGGTCTTCTCCAATGAGTTGTTATTTCACATTAGGTGGCCAAAGTATTTGAGTTTCATCTTCAGTATCTGGCCTTCCAAAGAGCAGTCAGGGTTGATTTCCTTTAAGATTGACTGGTTTGCTCTCTTTGCAGTGCAAGGACTCTCAGGAGTCATCTCCAGCACCACAATTCAAAGGCCTCAGTTCTTTGGTGCTCAGTCTTCATTATGGTCCAGCTTCCACAGCCATACATTGCAACCTGGAAAACCATAGTTTTGACTATACGAACTTTTGTTGGCAGGGTGATGACTTTGCTTTTCAGTATGGTATGTAGATTTGCCGTAGCTTTCGTCCCAAGGAGCAAGCGTCTTTAAATTTCTAGGCTGCAGTCACCGTCTGTGGTGATCTTGGAGCCCAGGAAAATAAAATCTGTTACTACCTCCATTTCTTCCCCATCTATTTGGCAGAAAGTGATAGGAGTGGATGCCATGATCTTAGTGTTCTTAATGTTGAGTTTCAAGCCAATTTTTGCTCTCTCCTCTTTCACCCACATCAAGAGGCTCTTTCGTTCCTCTTCACTTTCTGCCATTAGAGTGGTATCATCTGCGTATCTGAGGTTGTTGATATTTCTCCCGGCAATCTTAATTCCAACTTGTGATTCATCTAGCCTGACCTTTCACATGATGTATTCTGCATATAAGTTAAATAGGCAGGGCGGCCTTCCATACTTCTTTCCCAACTTTGAACCAATTAGTAGTTCCATGTCCAGTTCTCACTGTTGCTTCTTGACCTGCATACAGGTTTCTCAGGAGACAAATAAGATGGTCTGGTACTCCCATCTCTCAAATGCTAGCTACACTGCCAAAACATTTAGCAGTAGCCTCTTACTCCATGCAGTGGGGACTTCTGCAAGGCAGGATTCCAGTCAGCTGATAGAAACAGCAGAAACCCCCTTGAAAGTAGTCTGAACCAGAGCACAGAGTAAGTGACTAGCTTTTATAGATTACAATCCTGTGGTTGTAATGTATGTGTGCACTATTCTATACAATTAAAAGACATAATTACTAGAATAGTTTTGATACTACTATTTACAGAGGTGCTAAAATAATGAAGTACAGTGAACTAGTAAGGAGTATTCTTGTCTGGATGGCCAAGGTTTCATCTCTGTTTGACATCACATAGGCTGATGACTGCCTTTTGCCTGCAGAAGCAATGGCTGATAAGGAACATTCAAGGCTGCAGTTGTGCAGTGTGTGTGTGTTCTCTGTGCCATCTTAATATCAAAAAGGAAAGCTCCTTAGTTTCATGAAAGCAGATTCTCAGGGTCAGGGAAATGCTGACTAAAGGTGTATTGTATTATTGTAAGCAAGTACAATTTAATGTCAAGTGAAGGAGTATTTTAAAGAGCTAGAGACCCAGGCCTGACTTTTTAGGGTTCAAACCTGTTGCAGTAAAATATCTTAGTGCTGTATCATAGGGGAGCCTATCTGCCAATTAAGATGAGAGTTTCTGCTCTGTCTCACCTTCATGTAAGTTTATATGGGACAGCCTTTTTAACGGTGGCACTGTAATTGCTAAATAACCTCCCCATAGAAATTTCCTGGGGCCATTATTTTTCATTTTTCTGCAAACTTTAAACTTACATTTGCTGTTTTCTGCTTTTAATTTGGTTTCAGGTTTTTAAAAATTACCTAATTCTGGTATTTTTGTGATCATATTGTATTATGTGTTTTGTTATATAGTTTTATCATGCTTGTAAATACCTTTGATATAAAGGATGCTATGAAAGATAATTTGCAAATTCCATTATTTTGTGATACTGAACATCTAATCAATCTATTATGTAGGAAGAAGCTGGTGCCCAGGGCATAGATGTGATAATGGAAATGTTGGCTAATGTCAATCTTGCTAATGACTTGCAACTCCTGTCAAGTGGAGGAAGAGTTATGGTAAGTGTGTGCTTCACCTTTTTAATGAGAACTTATTGTAGAACTTGAAGCTTCAAATATTTCATCTTTTAAGTCTTTTTTTTTTTTTGACAGATAGTGGGTAGTCGGGGTCCCATTGAGATAAATCCAAGGGATATTATGCAGAAAGAATCAAGCATCAGAGGACTTTCTTTATTCTCTTCGTCTAAGGTAAAAAATACAACATAATTCATTTAGATTGGCAGTAAACGTTTCCTATAGCACAGTCTCTGCTGATTGATTCCAAACATGTGAAGTCCTTTTATCCCTGATCTGTCCCTTCTACGCATCAGTTACTTACATAAAAATTTACTGTCTGAGAATTTTACATATAGCTCAGGAGCTGTTTACTCCTGGTACAGGATTTTTGAGCTTTTCAGTGGAATGATGTTTCCCCATTAGTATCTCAGGAGTTGATTTTGCTAGTAGGGATAGCATATGCTTTGTGACTTCTTTCCTCAATGCATATATAGAGATAGAAAATTCTTAAAACCTTCTAACTTTGGTTTGGAGCTGCATTAGTAAAATTCAACATGTGCTGTGAGGATTTTCTGCCATCTTCCTCCTTGCTTCTGCAAAAAAACTGTTTCTAAGGTTTTCAAAGCTTCTGGAACACTGTAAGAGAGAACTGTAATTTATTGGGAAAAGGCATCCACTGATGCCCCATTCCCAGTGCAGCCCTCTGCGCCACATACATGCTTTTCCCAATTCATCTTCACAGAAATAATATGCTTTGGTGGCAGAAGGGAGTGGAAAGCCTCAGTGCATGAGAAAAATTCTGGCTGTGTAGTCTGAATCAATGTTTACAACAGAAATATCTTTCTTTGATGCTTGAATTAAAATGTTATCTTCTCTGTTTAGGAAGAGATGCATGAGTGTGCAGCAGCAGTTCTTGCAGGCATAGAGGCTGGCTGGCTGAACCCAGTGGTAGGCCCTGAATACCCAATGGAGAAGGTGGCAGAGGCTCACAAGGACCTAATATATAGCAAGGGTGCTTTGGGGAAGATGATACTCCTTACATGCTAAATCATACTGTCGAGTGTCTCTGCAGTAATCATGTAAATACTGACCAGTGCGTATGTAACCAGGTTTGTAATAATCCAAAAAATGTGATTCAAGCACAAGATACAACAGATGTGATAGGCTCTAATTTGGACAAGAAATATATTAATTTTATTTGCACTTGGAATAGATTAAATGCTTCATGTAAATGCTACACGGTTCATTCTTCTTTGGTTCTTGTAAAAGATGTCTTTTCTTCTGATTCCAAGTGGTGGAGCTGTATCATGCTCCAGTTCCCTTTCCCTCACAAAAATGCTGAATGTGCATTTGGGTCTGTGTAGAAAAGTAAGTATCACCATTCATATTTATTGACTACAGAATGTTGTTCCTTAATCCTCTTACTTCAAAATACTATTACTACTACTGCTAATTCTTCTTCTTATAATAATAAAGAGAAAGAATGGTAGAACTATGCATTCATGAGCACACTTGTTTCATGCAGCGAGGCATATTGGCAAGGTACAACATCTGTTAGAGAACCTTATCTCCAGGAGAACCTGTATATTAATTGGATGAAACTCTATTTTCTACAGTGGCTAGTGCTTTTGTGCAGGGTACATTCTGGGGGCAGGGTGGGGGGAGGTTCTGGAGTAGTACATGTACATCCATATACTTTTACACCCAGCTCCTACAGCCTTGGTTTTCTGAAAAAAGAAAGACACAATTATCAGCCTGCAAACAAACAGCCACTGTCCTCCATTGTATGATAAGTGTATACATAACCACAATTTCTACCAGCCTCATTAAAATACAAAACCATGTATTAGCATTATGAGAAAGTTGCAATGAGCTTTGGGCCTCCATGTTCTTCCCCTTCTCTTTGTGGCACTGAAAAAGTTCAGAAATAATGACTTGTTCAAAAAATCCAACTTCATACCATAGTAAATGAGGCTATTTTCTTTCAGCTAATGAAAGTTAATATTAAATAAAGGCTTCATTCTATGCCATGCCAAACAGTGGTTAACAGAACTGCAAACTTAGGGTGTCCTCTTTGTGGGCACAGTGGAAAAGGAAATGGGGATACACATACCTGACACTTTCTTGTCATGTTATACTGTGGTTTAATGTTGGGTCTGAATACAGCAATACTGACTCACAGTGGCCAGTGTATCAGTGAACTGTCTTTTGATGGTAATTTTAATATTTTTCCCATTAGTGACACCAATCCTTTGGAGTCAAACCAGTTTTGCCAACACTGTGAAAGTACTTTAATTGCTAAATCTTTTCAGCACATATCATAAATGTCTAGTGCTCATTTGTCAAGCTCACACTGGGACTGCTGCATGGAAAATTGCTGTGAAAAGCAAGAACATCAGTAAATGCAGTGAATCAGTGAAGATTTCCCTCTCACAACTTTTCTTGTTCCCTCATATTATTTTTAGAAAACTGGAAATATAGCTTTACATTTGTATTTCCCCAGTAAAATTCCATTAGTGGTTATTTTGAATGTACTTTGTATTTATGAATTTTTGGAAGCATGTCCTTACTTTATTCTTGGATACATATGTACCAGGGTGCAAAACCTAAAGTTAGAACTGAAACATATTGGCCCAGTTAGAGATTAAAGTATACCATCCACTATTGAAGAGTACTTAAAGGAAAATGTATACGGTTAGGCTGCAGGAAGGGACTGGTAGAGAGAATAAAATTTTGTTTAGATATGCAATCTTGTATTTCTTCCTCAATGACTACCACCAGAGAATAATATCATTGGGCACATTCTCATGTCATGCTAACCTATCCTGTGCAGAACCAATGATGTGTTGATTCTTCATTGCACAATCTATAGGGTACCCAACAATCAAGGTCACAGCAGGTTGTCCTCCTTTCCCCACTCTGTATCTCTGGGGATTAGTGGCTAAATCCACTATGTATTCTTTCTCTGCCATGATTGTGAACCCTTTTAAACTTGCTATAGCTATCTTTCGCTTTATTTTTTGGAGATCACCTTTTGCAATCTGACTTGACAGCCATTTATAACTTATAACTCCTTTGTTGTGGTCTCTGTTCATCACACATGTGGGTGCTGCATTTGCACAGTGCCTGTTTTCAGGAAGATTCTCTCAGCTAGTAACATTTTTGGTGGGAACTATGCCCACCAACTATGCCCTTGTATAAATAGGCATATTGCCAGTCCAATTTCAACCACTGTTTGCTGTACCTTGGTTTCTCTCATTGCTTTTGATTTCCCTCATGAACTTCTCCTTTAGCTATCCAGTCTTTAAAATCCTTAAAATCTTTCTCCCTCTCCACAAACTTCTATAAACCTGTCTCTCACCATATCCCTCCCCTAAGCCTCCTTTCCCCACACAAGCCTTTTTAATCCCCTCACAATTTGTTTTAAAGTCTATCATCTTTCTCCTTCTTTCGCTAAACTCTCTTTCTCCTCAACAGTGCAGCATTCTGCTTTTAGAAGGTGTGCACAATGTGGAGCAATGTGGACTGACAACCATTCGCTCTGCTTACTCTGCCTTGAGGAAGGTCATCGTGTGAACAAATGTGTCCATTGTCAAACCTTCACCAAACAGCCTTGAAAGAACTGTGAAGACAGTCTCAAGAAAGAGCTCTGGGATAGAGCCCTGATAGTGATGAGAGAGGTTACCGCTGACAAATCTGCTGGCCCTCCAACAGCTGAAGGAGGCACCCCTTTGTGTGGCAAGCCTGACAAGAGTGCTAAATCAACCAAAGAGCACTCAGAACAGTCTCAATCTCCTAAAAAAACATAAGGAGAAAAGGAAGCATCTCGAAAGTGTCCCAGAAAGGAGAAACTGGACAAGAAAAAGAAACACTACTCTCATTCGGTACAGAAGGATGTTCCTCACCCAATTGAGGTTCCCCACACTGTACTTGGAGTCCATCTCCAAGACTGTTTCCACAAGCGCTTGTCAGCCCAGCTGATCTCCAGAGACCAGAGCCGATGCTACCTACCTCCATTTCAGAAGGGGAGATCCAGGAGTCTCCCATACACTCCCGGTACTGTCTAGCAATCGGTATGGATGGCCAAGGAGCTCCAGGAGCAGATGTAACATCCTCTCACTCCAACTCTCTATGGGCAACTGTCGCCTAAGACCTCACTGGGCTCAATTAGAAGACTACCTCCTCCATTCGAACCTGAGAAGAACTCAATATTGGATGCCTCTTCCATATGCATCTTATGGACATGGATATCCATGGGAATACCTTCCACCTTACAGATACCCATACCCACTACCTCCACACCATAGACCACAATAATCCACAGACCTACTGTCTACATCTCGAGAGGCGTTGACTATTGCACCTCACCACGTGGAAGAAGACTCACCGGCACATTTGTCTTCTTCAAGTGCAGCTTACATTTCTGACTCTGATTCAGAATCTACAGACTAGTCTCCACCTTGCCTGACCTTATGGTATTGACTAAGGGCCTGGGATCGCCGGGAGAGAGTATGGAATATTTCTCTGAGTTGTTAGTGCGTATGTCAACAACACACAAATCTAGACCTGGATAACATCTACAATGTTATCAGGATGGAAGATGCAGTCCCAGTGCCCTGACTGCTGATCTCTATGCTATGCCAGGCGATGATGGAGCCCTGGGAATTACCCAGTCACTCACATCCGGCATCCTCCCACCTGGTGAGGTACAAGGTCAGGGAGCAAGACATTCCATTCCTCTTGCAGCATCCCCATCTGAACTTGGTTGTCATCAAGTTGACCCAAGGACATGTCATGACTAGGCATCCTCTCCCAAATTAGGCAGGCACTTCAGCAATTATTAGAAGAGTCTTTATTCCATACAGAAATAACATATTCACAAGCCTTGAATCACACACTCCAGGTGGAAAATTGACCCCTCACTCTGCCCACCTTCACCCCAAGTTTTACTTATGAACCCTTTGGGGCCAGTCTCTGGAGAGGGCACACTATGGAAGTGAGCACCCCTATGTTCTTCCCATTGAGTCCCTAATTGGTCTAGCTGGCAGGTATGTCAATGGGCCCTTGCGTCCACATCTCATGGGGTGTTAAATTCTCCTTCCAAGAACCCCTCCCCAGCCTGTTCTCACCAGCTTCTTTCCCACAATCAGGAGGGGTGTGGGTGGGCTCTGTGGTTGTCCTTGAAGTGCTTTGATCCAGAGCTGGCTCGGGCAGGCTCACTGGGAAAGTTTGGGAACCAGGGCCTCGCTAGTCTCAACAACTCCAATATCAGAGTGAGAGCTCTGAGCCACAGCTGGTTCAGTTGTTCACTCCTCCTCTCCTGAGTCTGAGCCGCCATTCCCACCAAAGCCCTCCATCTCCCATGCGCACCTGGGAATCTCATCCAAGCATACTCACGACAAGACAGCAGAATTGAGAGCACACTGCACTGGCTGACTGTGAAGGTTGAAACAGGGATGTGATGTCTCGCCAAATCTATTCAGCCATGGGACTTGGACTCTGAATTTCTAATTACAAGACCACGATGGCTCAGTACCCATACTTCCTATGGCAGAAAATGGAGTTGCTTGCCTCTTTCCTTCCAGACCAGCAAAAAGATCTTGCCAGAATCTTCACTGGGGAGGCAGTGCAATTGTCAAAACAGCAACTAGTCATGGTGAGACAACATGTGGATTGTGATTCTAGAGTGCTTGTCAGTGCAGTGGCTCTCAGAGCTCATGCATGGCTATGAGCTGGCAATCTTCTGCAAGAGACGATGAGTAGAAATTATGCTGGAACTGACCTCTTAGGGTTGCTCTGGATGTGAGGGACCACTCCATCCTATGCTTTGAGATCAGGGGAACAAGGATGAGTGTTAGGTCAAGTACTAGGAGCTGGGACTTCACGAGGGCCAATTTCAGTCAATTAAAGGCTAGGCTGGGGGAAGTTTTCTGGGAGAGGGTACTGGAAGGGAAGGGAGTTCAGGAAGGGTAGATGGCTCTAAAAAGAAAGATCTTGGAGTCACAAGCCTTAATGATACCACTGGTTACCAAAACAGAAAGTCTTAGCAGAGGTGGTAAGAGGGATTAGAAAGAAGAGAGACCACCACAGGAAATGGACACTGGGGCAAGTGGACAAAAGGATTTACCAGGAAGAGACAGTGTGATGCAAAAGGATTCTTCGCAAGGCTCAAACTGATTATAAACAGACTTGCAAAGAATGTCAAGGGCAACAAAATAATGCTTCTACCATCATGTAAATAGGAAGAGGAAGGGGAGACAGGTGGTGGGGCTGGTTAAAATGGAAGGAGCAGTTCTGGTAACTGATGTAAGGGAGCAGGCACAGATGTTAAATGATTATTTGGCTTCTGTGTTCTTTCCAAAGAGGGTGGGGAAGTTCCACCTGGAGGGCTAGATGTGACTGGGGTAATGAGGGCACAGATTGGAGACACCTCACTAGGCGTTGAGTATTTCCTCAGGACCCTGGATGCTACAAAGAAACCGGGCCAGGATGGAGTACACCCAAAGGTACCTTAAGAATGGGCAGGGGTGATCTCATGTCCATTGGCCTACATTTTTGAGGCCTTGTGGAAAACTGGAGAAGTTCAGGAGGGTTGGATGGTGGCATCAGTGGTTCCAATTTTCAAAAAGGGTAACAGAGGGCATACAGGGAATTATAGGCTAGTTAACCTTATGCCCATTTTGGGAAAGATGATCGAAAGGTTCATAATAGGGAAAGCTCTAAAAACCCTAGATAGGGATGGGAGGTTGTCATTCATGCAGCATGCTTTCCATAAAGACAGGTCCTGCCAGACAAACTTGTGGAATTCTATGACAAGGTTTCAAGGTAGCTAGATGTAGGGAATGCAGTAGATATGATTTGCCTGGATTTCAGCAAGGCCTTTGACAAAGTGCTGCATGATATCCTGGTCAAGAAATTGTTGAGCTTTAGGATAGATCAATGTCCTATGGATTAGGACATGGTTGATGGACTGCAGGCAGAGGGTAACTATCAGTGGGGAATCATCAGGATAGTGGATGGTGATGAGTGGAGTTCCCCAGGGATCAGTTCTGGGACTGAATTCTGTTCCACCCTTTTATGAGTTACCTGAAAGAGGAGATAACTAGTCTGCTGACTAAATTTGCAGATTATACAAAGTGGGGGTTTTGGCCACAACTGATCAGCAGGTGACTCAGATCCAGAAGGATCCAGAAGGATCTGGCTAGGTTGTGGAAGTGGGCGGGGGACAACAGAAGAGCATTCAATGTGGATAAGTGCAAGGTCTTGCATGGGGGACACAGGAACAGGTTTCACAGGTACAGGATTGGGGACAAGTGGCTGGAGTACAGCCCTTGTGAAAGGGATCTTGGGATACTTGTCCACAGCTGGTTGAACAAGAGCCTACAGTGTGATGCAGTGGTTATGAAAGCAAATGCTACCTTTGGTTTAGCCAGAAGCATGGCTTCCAGATCTAGAGAGGTGTTGTTATCGCTCTACATGACTCTGGTGCACCTACAACTGGAATACTGCATCCAATTCTGCTCCACATTATAAGAGAGACATAGGTAGGTTAGAATTGGTTCAGCACAGGGTCACAAGAATGGTAACTGTTTTGAGAGGGATGATATATAAGGAGAGATTGAGAGAGCTGGGTATTTGGCATTAAAATGATCAAAGGATGAGTGGCCTTGAAAGGAAATTCCAGTGAGACCTCTTGTCTTTTTGGTTTCTTTCTCATCGCTTTCAAGCAGGTCAAACCATTCTTGTTACCTCCAATTCATTAATCAAAGTTGAATTTCTGGCCTCCTGATACGCTTTGTCTGCATGATTTCCTTGAATGACTTTGTCAACTTGCATGGTTTTCAGTACCACATATGTGCTAAGACCTAGCTAATCCTTTGGCGAGATCTCTTCCTCCTCCATTTAATTCCATATTTTTGCCTTCCTCCCTGACACAATTGGCACAGTTTTGGCCTGCCACTCTTCTATCACGGACCTTAATGTGATCTAGCTAAGTTTTTTTTATGGTTTTTCATGTGTCTTTCATTCAGGCCTGACCTGGCCTTTCATTCAGGCCAGACCTGAACTTCCCTACCTTCAGCTGTAGCTGTATCATGTACTCCAAAAACAACTACTAGGATGTCCTATCTCAAATCCAGTATGTAGAACTTTTCCTCCCAAGCCTGCCCACATTTTCCATCTGCCTAAAATGTATCAACAGACTAAGTTGTGACCTTGCTCAGCCTAGGCACAAAGTTTTGGCTCCATCTTTGATTTTTCCTTCTCCTTCGTTCCTTACATCGAACCAGTTGCCTGTTTGTGTCACATCTTCTTTTATAGCCCTGTCTATTCCTCTCTGTCCCTTGGCTAAAATTGTATCATTTCCTGCTTTGGTTATTGCAATCATTTTCTGCCTGACTTTCTCCTATCATACCTGACTTCTCATCTGCATCCAAAGCTCTGCTGCCAAATACTTTTACCTTGTCTTAAACCATCTCCTCCTCAGATCACTCCATGGGCATCCCACCTATTCTATATCCAGCACAAACTCGACTTTACTCCTTAAAAGCTTTCTAGGACCTTTACCTCATAGCTTTGTTTCACCTTATGCCTCTGCCCTTTGCTACTGCAGTTCTAACTCTTTAAGCTGATCAAATAAACCCTTCTTCCTTAAACTGCCCATTCTTTCTTACAGATCCCCATGTGTAACATTCCTTTTTCCAGTGTGGTGCCAACTTGCTTATTTGGTCTCTTCATATCTTTCCTTGAAGCTACCTTTCTTATGTGGCCTTTTGCTTATCAGGCATCCTGCAATGTTTGCCTTGTGGTGGTATTAGGCCAAATTTGGGTATACCATAATCCTACCCACTCAGAAGAAAGGGTTTGAGTCTTGTCTGACATTTCGAACTTTAGGCTTGGCCCAACTGCAAGTGTAAGTCCCTAGGTTTTTTTTTTCTAAAACCAGAATTTGAACATTAAAAATTTCCCTACATGTGTTAAAACGCTTGAGAGAGGCTTTATCAGCAAAAAGAAATAGGATTTGTTGCTGGCCCCAAATGTAAGGTCATATAGCATTCCACCTCTGGTTCCCATGAGTTGAGTATAGATGTCTGAGACAAGAAACCTTATGTATGCAGTCCTGGAACTTTGAATATTCCTGTAAAGGGCAATAAATGTATCTGTAACCAGCTCAGACATGTGGTTATTAAGGAGAGTCTAAGAGCTGTGTAACATTTGGTGTAGACCTATCAATGCAGCCTGCCCTTTTTAATTATATGGACCCACTTCAGGTAATAGATGCATGAAGAGGGCTGAAATTCAACTGCTTCTTAAATGCTTCTGAGGTGCAAATGGGGCAAGCAAAAGCCCACATATTCCTCCCAGGCAGAGGAGAAGGGTGGAGGTTCTCATCTTGCACTGACTTCAGATGCAGCAAGAAAGTCAAGCATCTCTGTCTCTGAAGGTGTGTGTATTCCTTCTCTAATCTATGGAGAAGGAAATGAAAGTGAATGTAATGCAACATAAAAGCCCAGCTAGAGCAGATCAGAGGTCTCTCTGTTCCATCATCCTGCTTCACACAGTAGCTAACCAGATGACAACTACAAGAGCAGGAGCTCCACAAACACAGCAGAGTTGGCTTGCTATATTTTTAATGATCTAAAGTATTATGTTAGTATCGGAAGGGAAGGCAGGGTTATAGAGTCTAGGCCAGAGACTCTTACAGAACTGCACCACTGAGTTCCTCCATATATACTTTTTCTACATGATCAATTTACATACTGATAACATTCCCACCACATTGCTTTTTTAGTGAATTGAAAATTCCCAAACAACTTTTCTTCAAGCATAAGATGTTCAATTCGGCCGATCTTTGACATAACCTGTGTAGACCTGTGATCCCCCCTGCCTATCATTTTACTGTGAGGCAACTAAAATAGAACATGGAATTGTTCCTGATTCTGCAGTCTAACATAAAAGATACCAGTGGTGATTGTATTTGATTGCCCTTTTAATTATCATTCCAACTGTAGTTAAGCATTTGTCCACATCTCCCTCTTAGATGTTTCTTTCCTTTCCTTGTGTTATCCCCATTGCCCATTATAATTTATAAGGCAGGACCTGCCTATCTAATCCTGAAAGGTACAATGCACTGTATGCCTATGATACTGTGTAGTACCAAGGACTGCTTGGTTTTCTCCCCTTTGTTGTAGTTTGCTTCCATTTGCTTTCTCTTTCATGCAAACAGATAACTGCCTTGTGGGACATGATTTCAGGCAGAGTCCAACAACTCCTGGATTATATATCCTTGCCTAAATTTGGCTGGTACACAGCACAATGGAATTAATCTAAACTGCCCAGAACACATATTGTGAATGGAGCTGACCAACTATGTTGATTTCTGAACCTTAAAAATTAGTAATATAATAGGCACACATTTCTGAATGCCTCCTGTACCGATCTGTGCACTTAGTAAATTTTGACATGTACACAGACCTAAAAGCTAGAGCTATTTTAATTCACTCTCTCAAGCTCCCACAGGTATCTGTAGCTCAAAGAGAAACTGCCTGGCTTGTGTGTGTGTGTATAGATTTGTGTCAGGTTACAGGCACCTGAGGAACCTGCTTGCAACACTGTACAAATGGCAGCTCGTTTTCCCCTATCAGCTGAGAAACCTCTACCATCCTCCCAATTTCATTGGCCTAACAGAAATTTTTGTGCCCTCCTCTTTCAAAGCATTATCACGTGGCTCTCCCTTAGCAACAAGGGGAGATGTCTTGGTACAGTAAGCTGGAGCAAGGCTGGGATTTGCCAGCTGATTCCTTGAGAGAGCCTAGCCAAGGCAGAGAGCAGTCAGTCTTTAACATGAGTGCTCTTTTCTAAAAGCACCCAGTTTTTAACATCAAAGGCTGTACCTTTTTTGCCTTTGCATCAACCAAAAATAAAAGCCATTCTGCAAAGATGAGCCATCCTTTCACTGGGTAAGTGAGAAGGTTTGAGATACTCTTGAGGGGAGGGGGCTTGATAGGAGTAAATAATGCACATTGTGTGGAGATGCTTTAAATGATATGGTAGTATTATCTGTTTAACAGCTCAGGCTTTATTTACTTTTTATTTCTAGGCCCTTCCCCCCATTACCAAAATGTCAGTTCTTTTGAAAGGAAAGAGGTGTATGCCTTTATAATGATGACCAGTGTCATTTCAGCAGCCACAGCTGCAGGTGGTGGGAGCTAAACCTTAATGGAAGGAGGGGGCTTTGAAAGAAACTTAATGTTTAGTGGGAAGTTCTAGATAGCAAAGGGAACTGGGCAGGGATGACAGCCTAGCTGTTCATATTCTTCAGGAACAATGCCTTGGCAAGGTGCATGGAGGAGTAATTTAATATTAAAACATTGTATCCAAACTCAGGTTGCTGTTATCTTCTTCCTTTTGGATTATCTGTTTGAATACAGACCTGCTGGCTCTTGTTACATAGCCAATGAAGTCCTTTGTGCAGGCTAAATGTATTCTCTGAATTCCATGCTATTTTCTTTTGTTTAATGAGCCATCAGAAATAAAATGGGCAGTTAGGCAAACTACCCCGAGCTTATCCTGCTGCAATTTCTTTATTTTCCCTTTGTATTTAATAATTTGAAGAAAAAACCTAACAAATCTCAGGGTAGCCAGCTTAAATCAGCTACAAGGTTCTTGTATTAAAAATGCAACAGTAACTGTGATGTTGGATATTCATTGTCAAAAGTGACAGTTTCTGGGTTTCCTAATCTGTAAACCACCCAAAGAGCCATTTTGGCTAATGCGATGTCTAGAAATTAATTCAATTAAATAAAAATTAATTCTTGGGAAATTGGCTAATGAAATGTAAGGAAAATAAACAACTGTCACGAAGTCAGAGCTGACTATATTTCACTGACTGTGTTAGAATATAATGCCCAGATTTTCACTGGGTAAGACTGACAGGAAGTTTTACTCATGGATGGATGATTTGTGTTTAAACTTCTTGAGTTTTAAACGCACCTACTCTGGTGAAGATAGCTACTCAATCTAGTTAGGTAGATCATTGTCCAGCCTAATGTCCAGTAGATATATTGGGCTGTAACTTCCATCACTTTCAGCCAGTGACCATGGTGGAAGTTTTATTTTAACATATCTGGAGTGCTTCACAGTGTGGAAGGCTGGTCTATATTAACTCAGTGAAAGAGAAAATCTATATTAACTCTTTGGAAGTAAATTCTCACCTCATATTCTGGGCATGGGTTTCTCTTTGGTAAGACACAAACTGAAATGTTATTTATAGGAGTGTTTGTGATACAAACCTTTGTGCTATTCCACACAGCTTTCCATCATCCCATATCTATCTTTCTGGGATATGTGTGCCAAGCATCTGCTATTGACCAGTTAAAAGTCACATGCCTAGAGCTTTGTATAACTGCTCTCTCATAACCTATGTTGGAAGCAGTGCTTTTTTTGTAAAAAAAAAAAAGGTGCCGGAACTCACCTCTTGGGGGTCACACTTTTACACTAAAAAAGATCTTCAATTCACCAACTTTTTTTGAAACGGGGAAAGGGCAGGTATGAGCGAGAAGAAAGCCCTGTTGCGACACCAAGGAAATATAAAGAGACCTTCAGCCTGACCCTCTAGAGAGGCGACGAGGAAAAGCCAGCCCCACAGCAGCCATGGCCCTGCTCCGATGCGGGTCTTCATTTCAAATGCCTCCTCCTACACCGCACTCGTTTTCATGCACTGGATCTTGCAAACGTGCCCTCTGTGTCCTTCCTCCTTCACAGTTGTGGGCGCAGCGTGGTAAACCTCATAGGGGCAGCGTTTGGTTTTGGTCCCAGCAGAGGCAGTAGAGCAACCAAATTCCCAAGGCAGGGGGAAATGCTCCTTTCCACGACCCCCCTCCGGCATCTCCTGCGGCTCCCCGCCAGGCGCCCCTCACCCGCCTCTGGGCGCCCCCGCTTGCCCACGCTCGCCGTGCCCGGGCGAGGCCTGGATCCTTCTTCCTCTCTATCGTCCTCTGGTTCTGCGGGCTGGAAGGCTGGCCCAGAAGGAGTAGTAGGGGAAAAGCAGCGTCCCGAGCCGAGCACCGCCCTCACGAGCAGCGCGGACACACACGCAGCCCGCAGGCACTATTTTAATGCTTTTTGCTGCCGATCTGCTACGCCCGACAGGGCGATTCACAATCTCATGGAAAAATCCGTCAAAAAAAGGTGCCGGAACGCCGTTCCGGTGCGTTCTATGACAAAAAAAGCCCTGGTTGGAAGCAAGTGTAACGCTTGCAAGATCAGAGGGCTACAGAAAGGAGGCTCTTAAAAGAACAAGACTTTGTCTTCCTTAGAGTAAGATCACAAATGATGCATCAACTAATTTTATTTTATTATTGGAGTTTCCATATCTGACATTTGTTTATAGCCTTTTATATATAATGTGTGTGTGTGTGTATTAGTTTATATAATTTGGAGGGGGTTTCATATTACATGAATCCAGGCAACTGGAATAATATGAAGAGCCTCTTTGTGGTTGATTATAACTGACAGTTACTTTCCTGTTAAATGTAGATTTATTTTGTTTGCAAAGAAGAATATGGAGAGAATTTTTCTTTATCACCATCCTGAAATAATGCAAGCTGTTAAAGCGATTAAACCTGAGGAAATTACCTGCTTCTTAACTTTCAGAGCAATAGGGCAGTGGGACCAGTTGCCTAGAGAGGCTGTGGGCATTTCCACACTAGAGACATTCAGAAAGAAACTGGACAGCCATCTGAGTGGGATGGTGTAACTAGCATCCTGCACCAGCATGGGGTTGCACTTAGTGGTCTTCTTGGCCCCTTTCAATTCTATGATCTACACTTTGGTTGGTTCTCATTACAGTTTGAGTGCAAACTGGCAATGCCACATAATTGTATGACATGAAGGAAGAGATTGCTGAATCTATTGATCAGTAACTAGAATTCCTCCTTCACATAGTCTCTTTGAGGTACCCTTTCCACTGCAATTGCACCATGAACAATTGAACTATGAAGATTTGATTTCTAAAGAATAACATGAGACATGTACAAAGGCGGAATTCAGAATTGTATCCAAATCAGTATAAAACAGCCATGAAATTTCATTGCAACAGATAGCACTATTTGAGCTGGAGTTACAGAACATGTGCTATGATGCCACAAAAGGACTGACAATATATTAGGATCCTGCAGTAGCAGAACACTGATTAGGATTCCCCATACCCACAGCTACATGGGCTGAAGTCTCACCCAGAAACTTCCTGGTCCCAGAACCCTGGGCAGGACACTGTACTGAGCACATAACAGACCCAATCTTTGTGGAAAATTAGCTTTATTAAAAGAATAAAATATAGGGATGAGGGGTACTAAATTACACCTAAAAGGGTAAAAAGGAGAAAGCAGGGAGGGAAAAGGGAAGGGGAATTTGGAAAGCAGTAGCAAGTTTACAGTCAGCCAAGAGCCCCCAGTTCCCAGGCCTTGTTGGCCCATTTGGACACAGAAAATAACAAAACTCAGCCTAGCCTCAGCTATGCACTCAAATACTACACCAGCTTCTGGCACAGGCAACACAGGATAGGAAGCACAACATTCTTCTGCATGGAGTAATGGCAGCAAAAGTAGAACCTCCTCTGGAAGAGGAACCCTGACCCTTTCCATGCCCTGGACTTTATTCCCTACCCCATCTTGAGTCAGCTGAGTCATGAGGTGATGGGCAATTATTGACTCTTGATGCAGACCATTTGCCCCTCACTGCAGGTATCTCCTGTGTTCTTGGGGCATAATTTATGACATCTCTTCCTTATGCATAACAAGAATTGAGCCTTGCCTCCCCTGACCTTGGGCACCAGCTTCCTGTAGTGCTGGCACTTGTTTTTTCCAGTATTTTACATGGTATGTCAATTAACCCTGCCTCCTGGAGTTACCAACCAGTTCATGTTACACCTGTAACATAATTTGCTATGGAGACAGATCTTGAGTTTGATAATGCCATAATTCAATGTTATTGTTCTACATTTCTTCATGATTAGGGATTGACTGGTAGTGGATGCATGACCAGAACACCCCAGTGAGCAATTTCTAGGCTCACTCACTTCCCGCTGGAACTACATATTACGTAGATTGGCAAAAGACTATGAGTTTAGGCAAAAGAATAATAGGGGAAGAAGGTAATTTTATTTTAGTTAATTGGTTAATTAAATTGCTCTACTGCCCAATAGCCAAAGCTGTCTGGGTGGTATACCGCATATTTAAGAAAGAAAAAGAATAAAAATCCATATGCTTCTGAGAATAAGGGATTCTGTGCTTGAGATGTTGACTGAGGTTGCATCTTCCATTTTCTTTGCAAGAGGAAGAATGACCCTTTACCTTGAGCTTGGTTTTCTGTGTGAACTTTCCTTTCTGCTTTTCTGTATGTTCCATTACATAGCACATGGTTGTGCTGCAGTATGGAGCAGAATTGTACAAATACACTAGGTTGATGTAGCAAATAAAGGCAACATCCAGGAAAATATTGTGTTTTTTCTTTAAAAGGAGCTGTGAAAATGGCTATGAAACATGGGAGAGGTTCTGGAGGATGTCAATATTATGTAAAGCTACAAAAAATTCTGTCATTGATCAGGAGTGCCCAATCATAGATTCACAGAAACACAGAATCATAGAATAGTAGAGTTGGAAGGGCCCATGAAAGTCATTGGGTCCAACCCCTGCTGTTATAGGACACCAGTTTAAACCACCCCACTCAGATGGCTGTCCAGTTTCTTATTGAATGTCTCTAGTATGGGAGAGCTCACAACCTCACTAGGCAGCTGGTACCACTGTCATATTGCTCTGACAGTGAGGAAACTTTTCCTGATATTTAGCCTGAACCTGGGTTGTCACAACTTTAATTGATTATTCCATGTCCTACACACTGGGATCAGTGAGAAGAGATCTTGACCTTCCTCTTTGTGATAGTTGTCAAGGTGTCTCAATAG